GCAATAACTAGGAGGCAACACCCAGAGTTGGGGGATCTCATCCCCCCAGAGGGAGGAATCAGCAGGTCAGAACAGCTCTGAATTGTGGGTTTACTCTTTGCAACTGATACCATTTCAGACTTAATGAGGGATTCCCCATAGTTTACCCTAACACCACTAAATAAATTCTTGCTGTGCCACAGTCAGATAACTGAGTCATTTCTGAGCTTCATTTATTGCTATGTCACTGAGCCTCACTGAAGTTTTTTTTTTAATATATTTTATTGATTTTTTTACAGAGAAGAAAGGAGAGGGATAGAGAGTTAGAAACATCAGTGAGAGAGAAACATCAATCAGCTGCCTCCTGCAAACTCCCCACTGGGTATGTGCTCGCAACCAAGGTACATGCCCTTGACCGGAATCGAACCTGGGACCCTTGAGTCCGCAGGCTGACGCTCTATCCACTGAGCCAAACCAGTTAGGGCCTCACTGAAGTTTTAGTGCAACAATCTGGCTATGTTCTACCATAGACAAGTATTTTGGTTTTTTTTTTTAGTAAACAACCCATTTAAACCAACTTTGGTGGTAGCAGTTATTGCTTACCTAGAGTTATTTAAAAAGGCCTGTATAGACCTATGAAGGGGAGCAAAAATCTTATATCCTCCTTTGCATCATATAAAAGATGATCTAGTGATATTAGATGACGACAAGAATTGGGGTTAGGCTACAGACACCCTCAAACTCAAGTAAGATACAGATCCCTTTGAAAGGAAGTACTCATGCTATCTTAGTTTGAATCTCCTCTAAAAACAGACCCTGGGACAAGAATCCAAATGCAAGTAGTTTAGGGAAAACCAGTAAAGGAATAGAGAAGTGTTACAAGGAAAGGAAGATAATCTATTAGAGGTGCACTATTGAGTCAGCTACTATGTTGAAACACTGGAGATATCCCACCTGAATTATTCTACCAAGTTGAAGAAGGGTTCAGATATTTATAAACCTACCTTGCCACTCACTGAAGACTGCTCCCTAAGAGTGCTAATTCCCTAGCACTTCTAGCCTGCCACAAATAGATAGGGTTCTGGGAAAAAACCTCAAACAGAGATGCACATATCAATAATGGAAAGTCACTGAAGCACAATGAAGTAGTTTTGAGAGAATTGGAAAATGTGTATTATTATACACCTGTTTGCCTAGAAACTGAGTTACAAGGGACATACAATTGGCCCAAGTAAAGAATAATGACAACTTTGCATTTGAAGCATACCCAGGATGTACAGGGAACTTCAAGGCTCATGGTAGACTGACTTTCCAACAGTTCTCAGAGAATGCATGGTAACATATATACTTAAATGGGAAAAATGAAGTCAGCTAAAAATCCAGCACCCCTTTAGGATAAAAACTCTCAGCAAAATGGGAATAGAGGGGTTATTCCCTCAACATAATATAGGCCACATATGACAAACCTACAACCAACATCACACTCAATGGGCAAAAACTAAAAGCATTTCCCTTATGATAGGGATGTCTGCTTTTGCCACTCCTATTCAAAATAGTACTGGAAATCCTAGCCACAGTGATGAGAAAGAAGAAAACATAAAAGGCATCCAAAGTGGAAAGGAGGAAATAAAACTGTCATTATTCGCAGATGACATGATATTGCACATGTACAGAAAACCCAAAAAACTGCTAGATTTAATAAATAAATTTGGCAAAGTAGCAGGATACAAAATTAATACCCAGAAATCAATGGCATTTTTATACACCAATAAATAACCCTCAGAAAGAGAAAATAAAAAAACAATCCCACTTACCATTGCAACAACAACAAATAAGATACCTGGGAATAAACTTAACCAAGGATGTAAAAGACCTGTATTTGGAAAGCTTATAAGACATTGAAAAAGGAACTAGAGGAAGACATAAAAAAAGTGGAAGCATATACCTTGTTCATCGATTGGAAGATTTAACATCATTAAAATGTCCATCCTATCAAGAGCAATCTACAGATTCAATACAATCCCTATTAAACCACCAATGCATATTTCACGGATCTAGAACAAATATTCCAAAATATATAAAGAAAAACAAAAACAACAACAAAAAACCAAATAACCTCAGCAATCTTGAGCAAGAAGAACAAAGTTGGAGGGATCACAATACCATATATCAAAGCCATTGTAATCAAAACAGCCTGGTACAGGCACAAGAATAGGACAGAACAGAGACATCAGAAATTGACCCATGCCATCATTCTCAATTAATATTTGACAAAGGTGGTAAGGGCACACAATGAAGTAAATAGTGTTGGGAAAATTGGACAGGAACATGAAAAAATATGAAACTAGACCACCAACTTACACCATACACAAGAATACACTCAAAATGGATAAAAGGCTTAAATGTAAATCGTGAAACCATAAAAATGCTAGAAGAAAAAATGGGCAGTAAAACCTCAAACATCTCACGTAGCAGTATTTGCACCAATACATCGCTTAGAGCAAGAGAAACAAAGGAAAAAATAAACAATTAGGACTACATCAAACTAAAAAGCTTCTGCATGGCAAAAGAAACCATCAACAAAATGAAAAGGGAAACTAATATTTTCCAATGATACATCTGATAAGGGATTAATGTCCAAAATATATAAAGAACTCATACATCTTAACACCAGTAAGACAGATAATCCAATTATAAAATGGCCAAAGAACCTGAATAGACACTTCTCCAAAAAGGACATACAGATGACCAACAGACACATGAGAAAATGCTCAATGTCACTAATCATCAGAAAGTTGCAAATTAAAACTACAATGAGGTATCACCTCTCCTCTACCAGAATGGCTACCATCAATAAATTAACAAGTGCTGGTGAGGATGTGGAGAAAAGGGAACCCTGCTGGTGGGAATGCTCACTGGCACAGCCACTGTGGAAAACAGTATGGAGGTTCCTCAAAAAGAGGAACCATTGACCTAGCAATCCCACTTCTGGGAATATATCCTAAGAATCCTGAAACACCAATCAGAAAGAATATATGCACCCCTAAGTTAATAGCAGCCCAATTTACAATAGCTAAGATCTGGAAACAGCATAAGTGCCCATCAGTAGCTGAGTGGATTAAAAAAAAGCTGTGGTACATTTACACAATGGAATACTATGCAGCTGTGGCAGCATGGATGGACCTGGAGACTATTATGCTAACCGAAATATGCCAGTTAGAGAAAGACAAATATCACATGATCTCACTTATAAGCAGAAACTAAAGAACAGAATAAACTGACGAAAAAAATTAGTGCAGAGGTATGGATGCCTGGACAGAATTACAGATTTCACTTAGGCGGGTGGGGGGGTTGGGGTGGGGGAGAGATTAACCAAAGAACATATATGCATAATCCATGGACACAGATAATAGCAAGGGGAAGGCCTGGGGTGGGGAGAGGGTTAGGTGAGTGGGGGGGCATAATGTGGGAGACATCTGTAATACTGTAATACTGTCAACAATAATGTAAACATTTTTTGAAAAGAAAAAATGAAGTGAGCTGATCGGTTTGATAATGGGTATGGGTTTTGCTATAACTGATGTGTTAAATCCGTAGCTCCAAGATTTTAATGAAAATATATTTAAAGCACAAAAACAACTATGTGGCAGAAATTACATTCGTTGTAATTAGTAAAATCATGATACAAAATTTTAGAATTTTAAAGTAGGCTTGTATAAAGAGGGTTTAGTTAAAATTATTTTTAGTTTAAAAAATTTAGAAGCTAAATGAGCAAAAGAATATTTTAAGGTCACTGTAGCTCAGTAATACTGCACTACCAGAACATTCCTAAGTCAAAATTCTTGGTTGCCAGCCTGAAGCCAGACAAACTTGAGCTGATCTAAGCAGAAAAGGAATTTATTAAAGGATATTGAGTAGCTCACATAATCGTGAGAGAGGCCGGAGGACAAGATGCAGAAGTTACACAGCCAGCCATACAGCATGTCCCAGGCACACAGGAAAGCTGGGCCCCTGCGGACACCGGTGTCAAACAACAGAGTGGAGCTCGCAGGCTCCACAGCTGCTGGCGAGCCCCTGTGCCTGGAGCCACCGGCGGCACTGCCGGCCTGGCTCCGTTAGGAACCGGCTCTCGCTGCAACTGCCCTAACAGAGTGCCTGTCCTATTACATGTACCATAAGTGTTCCTGGTTATATGTGGTTTCGAACAGATCACAGTACGTTTTAGTATATGAAATATTAACCATTTGGGAGTGACCTGCAGACAATTTTGTGGGGACGCTGTGATGAAAACAGATGCTTCACTTTTCAGAAGAAAACTGCTGACACTGCAGGAGTTATTTCAAACCCACAATAATTCTTCAGTTAAGGAATCACAAGCCTAACTGAAATTAGAGATTTTGTAAAAAAAAATTTTTTTAAAGCCATAGCTCCTAAGGGAGTCTCACACACCTTTTCCAATCTGGCTTCAATTTCTTAAAATAAGTGAATAAAAAACGCCGCCAAGTTGGAGCACTTTTAGAGGCAACTGCAGAATACGCGAACCTGCTTTTTGTCGGTGTGTTTATCTCAGTCCCAGGCCATCCAGTTTCCAAAAGACTGTCGGCCCCTGTGGGGGAAGGCGGGACTCCACCTCCCGGCGCCTACATTTCACAGAACAGCACTCATCTCATTCCGTTTTCCCTGTCTTCCCTCAACACCTTCCCCTAGTACCTTCTACCCACGCCTTTCCCTCCGCTGGGAAACTCCTCGCTCTCCCACTTTCACGCTCCGACCCCATCTTCCCCCTCCGACCCCGATGAGCCGTGCCACCCGCTAGCCTCCGAGGCGCGCGGCTTCAGAGAACACCACCCGGAAAATCGGCGGAAAACTACTGCGCACGCGCACGAAACTGGCGCCGCTTGGCCTCACGGGTACGATGGGCTGGTTTCTCCGTCTCTGATTCGCGGAGGCCACGGTGTGGGAACTCTCGCGGTATTTGCTGAGGGCGGCTAGTGGGCTGCTGGGGCTGCTTCAGCTCCTTTTGCCGCCCGCGCCTCTGCGCTGCCGGAGTGTTGGCCGAGCACCATGACTTCCGCCCTGGAGAACTACATCAACCGTATCCTCTGGCGGCCGCCGCCGGCGCTGGTGGAGCCGCGGTGAGGGAGGCCCACGCTCGACCGGAGAGGGCCTGGGCCGAGGCGGCGGGAGGTTGGGACTTCCGGCCACTGCGTGACCCGGGTTCGGGGGGTGAAGGATCCGGGACCCACCAATCCCGCGCCCGCGGCTCTTATGGGCCCAAGGCGCCGTTTCATTTTAACCTTTAAAGCATGTGATTATTCTGAACTCTTCCCTGTCTGTGGAAGTCATCGATTTATTCATCCTTCCTACTTCCCTAGGGCCTGGGCCGTGAAGTTTGGGAATAAAAGGAACAGTCGTCCCGCCGATGACGATATTGTTGTAAACCCATGTGCTGCACTTGTTTTATTCGTGGGCTTTGCTCATTGTCCTGCCCCTTTACCACCTGAAGTCTCAGTCTCTTTGTGGATAGAAGGGAAATGTCGCAGGGGACACAGACCTTCAGAAAGCCTCCGGGAGGTCGCCAAGCGCGCTGTGCATGTTGACAGTCTTAAAGCCTCGGGGCAGAAAGGCTACAATGTGGGGGGGAGTGAAATACTAAAGACGTAATGCTGTAAAGCACCTTTATTCCTGTGATTACAGCTTTTCTTTTGAATTCCAGAAGCCACGTCCTGGAAGACAGTGCCTTCTCACGCTGGAAATCACTCAGCATTAATTGAGCCCGAATCCATGTTAGGCTTAGAGATGAGAACACAGGTCTAGGAGAGGGGGGCGTGCCTTGCTCGGAGTCCGAGGTCCCAGATGGAAAGAGGACCGCACATCCCGGCTGCTCTGGGACAGATGGGTTATACTTGGTCACCTAAGGACGCTGATTTTCTTTTTCTGTCTCTACCTTTTCTAATGGCCACAAGGAGTTGAAGGAGTTAGAAACTTGACGTTTTTGTGTTGTGCACGTAGTGTGTGTGTGTTGAATAGCTGTCTCTCAATTCTGTCACCTTTTCCCCCAGCGATGCAAACCACTTCCTTACCAGGTTCTAAGGTTTCAGGTTGCATTCCCTGCGAAATGCTTTCCTTGACTCAGTTACCAGGAACTGTTGCTGTGATTACTTCGGATGGGAGGATGATAGTGGTGAGTATTTTATTCATTCATTCTCTGCTTTCTTGGAGGCTTACTGGTTGCAAGATTTTCTGTAGAAGCCCTGACCTGTGATGCCTAGGCGCTGTAGTGTTATTCTGTACCTGCATTACAGTTTTCCTGTGACCCAGCTCTTTACCTCAAAGGTTACCCTGATCACATACAGAAAAGGATTTTTCTTTTTCTATTTTTTCCTTTTCTAATTGTCTAATCATCACCAGGAAGTGGAGGAGTTAGAAACTTTTAAGTTTTTATGTTGTGAATGTAGTATTTTTTTCTCTATTAGCAAATTTGAATATAAGTTAAAGGCTTATAAAAGCTAAGGTGAATAATAGATTCTGCCCTCAGAGAGCATCTAGTCTAGTATGCAGATATCTGTCTGTATTTCATATTTATCTGTTCCAATTTTTATTTCCTTTTCCAGTCAGTGCTCTGATATTCACTACATATCATATATTTTTTTGAAAGTTCGTGTATGCGTCTTAGAATCTTTTTTTATGATTAACATACTACATATATGGAACATTTAAGGTGTGTATGGTGTTAATATTCTTTGACTATTCTGAGGTTGTATGACCTCTCTCTTCTGTAAGACAAATTATGATGATTGACCCTAAATTTATTTAATCTCATGTGTCTGTTTATCACAGTATCCCCTTTAATTCCAGAAAAATTTGGGATTCTCTCCTTGACCTCTTCCTTGATCTGAGGAATTTATTCTATAATTTTTGGCTATTTAATTATTTCTTCACTTAAAATTCATACAGCTGTTTGCTTTCAAAAAAGTTTTAAGGCTACTAAACTTTCTATGTTCTAACCATATCTAATTTATATAATTTAATCTCTCATTTTTCCATTCTGCAATTCTGCTTTTGTTTCTTGTTTTCTATTTAATTCTTGTGGTTTTTCTCAGAGGTTCTTAGAAGATTACCAGAGTGTTAGATTTTGCCATTTATTAAATTACTAGAGGCCCGGTGCACAAAAATTTGTGCACTCGGGGGGCGGGGGAGGGGGGGGGTACCCCAGCCCGGCCTGTGCCCTCTCGCAGTCTGGGACCCCTCGGGAGATAACGACCTGCTGGCTTAGGCCTGCTCCCAGGTGGCAGAGGGCAGGCCCAATCCCTAAGTGCAGCCCCTGATCAGGCTCAGAGCAGGGCTGATTGGGGAGTTGGGGCACCGCCCCGTCATGCACAGAGCAGGGCGGATCGGGAGGTTGCGATGCCACCCTCAGTCACACTCAGGGTTGGGCCGATTGGGGGGTTGGGGCACCGCCCCCTGTCACACTCAAGGCAGGGTCGATGGGGAGGTTGCGGCGCCACCCCCTGT